GTTACTTAAAAAAAGAAGGACAACCAAATACTGATCTTTGAACGATCTTCTTTAAACTGGAAGTAAGTAATAAGTTGACCAAAGGAATTTTAAAAGGTTCTCAACAAAAATGAACACTCTGCTGTTATGTGGAATGATTAATTAATCCTTTGGCACTTGAACAAATCTGATGATATAAAATAGACCGTTATCATTTACTCGTTATTCCGTTCATGTCTTAGATGAAGTTTGGTGACATCATGTCTTTTCTGTTGATGGGAATTACTGACAGAAGTAGTGAAACTCTTAAAATGGCATATATATATATATATATATATATATATATATATATATATATATATATATATATATATATATATATATATATATATATATATATATATATATATAAACTTCAGGAGCACGCTTAAGATAGATCTGGAAATTTCTGTTTCACTAGTTACAAGCAGTACAAACGTTTATTCTGTAACTATTTTCAACGTATTCTCAACGTAAGTAAATGATGCATCTTCCAATTTTCATATCGAATCATTAGAACTTTGATAAGCAAGATAATAATGAATTATTTATCCCTTGAACAACAGTCAATGTTGATCAAGTAAGAGTTTGCATTTTCTCTCGTTCCAATTTAAACTTTCATTTCATTTATCTAAAATCATAATTCAGACATTAAAATGTATATTGATAATTGGTGTGGATAAGGCACAATCTCTCGACTCCTGCTTCTTATACAATTTAGTTACGGACTCTGAAGACAGTGATTTCGAGATTAAGAGGGAATTTTCGAGTCTTGTTTTTGACGAGGACTTGAGTAACACACACTATCAGGTCGTGGAAACCTTGTTAGGCCATAAGATACCTCCTCCCGTAAAGGTTAGGCATTGAAGAGTTATTTTTATCGTCTATTACACAAAAAGGAAATTAGGTGGTCTTGTGAGCTTTGTAATTTTGTATGAAAAACACATCCCACCATTCAATAGACAGGAATGGAGAATTTAGTGCTTCATAAAATAAGGAAGTGTATAACTAACATGTCGTAAATATGCTTTTCTTCTAGATACAGGTTGTTGGTTGACTAGAGCGCTAACCTCTGGCTTCTATGAACCCCATCTCAATACGGGCAAAGACAAAGTGGTAGTGATCAACAATAATGACGTCCTATACACCCAATTTTCCTAGATTATGCCATCAATACACTTTTCGTCAATAAAAAGGACATGGCCTAAGCTGTGAGATGTTCTAGTTGTCTCCTCGCATTGACACTTTGAAGCCAACAAAGCACATGTTCATTGGGTTCCACTTTAAAACAATGAACACTCCTACTCCGTAGCTTCACAACTTTGTGTTCACTTACGAGGGTACTCAGAAAACATCTTCCTCATAGCCCTTCTTTACCTTGGTAAGTATAAGGCCTTCTTGAACAGTGTTCAAAGAAGAGAAACTAGACTGACTGTCAGATGTAAAAATAATCTTTGCTTAACGCACCTGAAAGTTCTGCGTTTAGGACTCGTGCAGCACAAAGGGATTAGGAAAGTGCGATCTCGCGCGTTACGTTGATCATAGGCCTCTCCGTTCTACCTTATTTCTAATTAATTTTTGTAATGAATCATATTTAAGATTAAGCCCTTTTAGGACAATAATTTGTCTCTGCTTTTTTGTAGTTACAATTGGCAAACGGTGGAACTCCGTGTAAGGATCAATAGCAACCACACTTGGTGTTGAGTCTTCTCAAAGAAGGAAAGAAGTATAGATAACTAATGTAGGTGACCTATGAGGATGAATGAGGAGTCTACTCAAGAAAAACGGGAATGGTGTGGTCTACAAGACTACGTCGAGGCCACACCTTTTGGCATAAAAAAGGTCTTCAAAGCTCGACCCCCACTGGCTTTGTATGTTTTGTTATTTTGAGTAAGACATTTTCAATCCTAAGGGTAATAAGCTTTCTGTCACTGACCAGCAAGAAAATCGATGACAGCTGAGCTGGTAACATTGTAGTGAACAGAACACGAGTTGGGACAATCGAATGTATTTGACAAAAAATTACGGGACTTCTTAATAAAATCTAACAGACATAAAGTAAATGTTTAATTTCCAAAATGTCCACCAATTGTCTCAAAGTGACTCAGACTTCATTGTTCTTGAATTTCCATTTTTTACTGTTCGATCCTCTTGTTTCTCTGCTGCCAGACTTTCTGTTCCTGACTAACATCATATACTAATTATGTCAATATAAGTATCACACACAACAAGGATGAATGCGTCAGTGAAATAAGTACTCTTACGGAACGTGCCAAATACCCGACTGCGAAATATGCAAAGGTAAAATCTCTTTTGAAATAAACAAAGTGTAAAATACCACTGGATGTTGGTGGACGCAATTCTGAAGTAGTGTCTCAATGCGTAAATAAAACCGTCATCGTTCCGAGTAATCACGATGTGACTGTACCGACTGGCGGGGGACGAAAGATAATGCTGAACCAAAATAGATGAAGAAAAATAGCCGAGAAAAGCTCGCATACGGTTGATATGTATTCGGTAGACTTGTAGTGGCAGTGGATTCTGACCACACAACCCTCAAAGCTGATCACGAGATAACTGGGAAAATAGATATTCAACATGTAACACTAAGAGAAAGTCAATAATAGTGAACGCAGGAACATTAATTCAACTGGATGGCATGGCTCAGCCTTTCAGGCGTGGTCATTTTTGTGTGACATCACGTTTTTCATATTAAATATATTGTTTTATCTGCATCCTAAATGTGTTATCCATCATATATTGGGGACTGTTACGTTACAGTGGTGTGACGTTCATGTAAGATCTTATAGATTAGACAGTTACACCATAAAAAATCTACAGTTCCAGGATTAGGTTCATTATTAGAACAGTATGTCACGAAGTAGACCATAATTCTTCAGACGCACATCATTAGTCAGAGAATACTCCGCCCGTCCCAAATTAAGACAGTATTTAACCCTAGCGTCGTTAGAAAACGTTTGTCCATATAGAATATTATTATGAGAAACTATGGTAATCAGAGTTTGTGTATACAGGTCGATCGAAGGGCAATGGAATATGTTTGCAGCGGCATCATCATATGCCAATGGTCATATACGTAGTCTATCATTGCTCTACATGGGTCGATAGAGAAATCTAAAAGCTGTTAAGGCGTAAGAAACACTTCTGGAACTTGACCTTGCCAACAGGCTACGAATCACTTGAGTATGTACACCGGAAAATTCGGAATATATACAGAAGGCCATTGCTAAGTGCCGCACCATTTAAGAAAGATAGTTGACATATGATAGCCGTACCGGCTCATAATGATTGCTTTTGTACATTACTTACTGATTGAAGCCTCCGACTAGTGTACGAAAATCCAGATATTATAGCTAAATCATATCTGGGAAAAAATGAGACTTTATCATATTATTTCACTTAAGTCTACCCTACAAATCTTGTTAACAATACGTGTCATAACCACACCAATGAAATACCGGCCTCAGGTCCAATACAGTTGACTGAGGAAGTTGTTCTTAAATTGCTTATTAACATCAGACCCAGTAAGACACAGGGCCCTGATAGGCTGTCTCCATAATCTCTGTCATCTCTAACAGACAATATTTCAGGACCACTCATTATGCTGTTCACCATATCATTTTCCAATACTCAACTCCCTAGGGATGGGGAAGATGCTATTCTTAGTCCTATGTTTGAATATAGGAAGAGATAGATCGTATTTACCTACTGACCTGTCAGTCTAACTATAATAGTAGATGAATTACTTGAGAAAATGTATCGGTATGAGTTACTAGGTCACATAGATTTATGCAATCTGTTGACCCCAAAACAACACGAGTTTCGGAATAAGCACACATGCTAAAATAACTTACTGCTTGCGAGAGAGGATTGTACAGCAACCCAATACAATTAGTTATCTAGTAACGTGATATTCATAGATTTCGCCACAGCATTTGATAAGTTTTCTCTCTTAAGTTCTGTGCAGAATCTCTCGAGCCAAGAGTGGTGCACAATGTGGCACCTTCTTAGTTCCTCTATTTTTTCTTCTCTACGTCGATAAATTACTGCGACTGTTCAAATCATCTACATTATTATTTGCCGATTATGTGAAAATTTGGAAGGAAATATGTGGCAGGGTTGATCATCTTGATCCTTGATGAATTAGTTAGATGATCGCAAAGTCGAGACCTGATAAGTATGCCAAAAGAGTATGTCGACGCACATCTGACACGACAAGTTAACTGTAAACTATCGACGAAACACCGCCTCCAACAGTGGAGGAACAAACGGACCCACCACAATAGCACGTCATGAATTGAGAACAACGGCACACTGAGACGCTGCAGCTGCAAAAGATTTGCGAACAGTCACCTCACCGAGTATTCGAATGCTCTTGAGGGTGTATAAAGGACGGGAAAAACGAAGTGAATGTCTGTTTCAAACTCTCTTACGACGAGTGTCTAAAATGCCTGGACACTTTCCCCTTGTAGTATTGTAGGACTCAAGGTGACCGTAAATTGACATTCCCTATTTTCAATAACGATTTAGATGTTAAAATGTCCCCTAGTTTTGCTCCGCCCAAAACCAATCATCTCCAAGGCCATAGTAAGAAGGTCCAAAAGCAGCGATCTCAAAAACTTAGAGCGGAGTTTCGTTTATTCCATCAAGTAGTCTTTAAGTGGAATGCCTTACCTGAACAAGTGTTATTAGGGCTATCAGCAAATATTCTCTAGAAGAAGCTGAAACTCCACTGGAAAATGAGGTGCGAGGATTAACACAGGTCTTCAATCCTACAATCCTTATTACTGAGTACTGAATACTTTTATTGTTAATATCTTGTCTCACCTTTCTGGTTTAGGAGGAATGTCACACGAAATATACCACTCCGTCGTCAGTAACTCTTCTTTTTGCCGCTAAATTAAGCTGTCTGAAGAACATCTCCTTTCTAATTCCAGTATACAATACTTGAAATTTGAGAGGTTTGCCCTTGGGAATGTGTACATTCTGAAAATATATGTGCGTCGTTATTTCCAAGGTCATTAAGGAGAAAGATCGCTTAAATGGATCATCCAGTGACACTAAACGATGTAACTCATTTCTAAATGCTGTTTACAATGGCATATCAGGTTGATTGGATGAAAATGCATTAAGTAGAGTTTTTTTTTACAAATAAATGAATCTCGTTAGATCGATCCTCCCTGACTTTAACTAATTACTAGACCGACTGTTAAAATCACACTTGTAAAGTTATTGTAGCCCCTTGCTTTTGTATTTTGTTAAAAGCGGGGTGAGAGGTGTCTGTATCTTTCTTAAAATGACTAAAATTAATAGACATGTATTCTATAGCATAATTGTCTATAAATTTTATATGTGGCTATTAGATGAATGATACATATATGCAAATCAAATTATCAGAAACATCTGATCCTGATGCAGATTACGATTGAAGTGCATATTACTCACTAAGCGTACTTGGTACTATTCGATGTATGATAAGTAGTGTTTGCATGGATAAACGGTTTCCTCACTGTAACATCTACTCGCAATCGTTCTCTCGGTTCCTACCTGTCGTTTGGTTTAAGCTATTATAGTTTGGTTTTATAAAACCAATGTTTGCAATACTAATATGTTATTTAGCTTTCTACCGGGAGGTATTTCGAGGTGGTCTCTGTAGGGTGTCCAATACAAACGAATAGGTAACATCTATGTAACAAATTAGCATAGGTTGCAGGTTCTTGGTCTCTTGCACTTGGTTATCGTATTTGCGCCATACAACCCTAGTATAGTATACGTTTCAGGACATGCTATGTCGACCTATACTTTGTTATTTAACAAATAAATAGTAGTGTACTGCAAAACCCACATAAACCTACAAGTTTATTAGATAAGTCTTCATCAACGAATTCACTGTCTATTTCCTTCAATTTTGATATACTCCTGATTTGCAGGTCGCTAGCTAAAGTGTAAGCACTGCTTTTATCTTTGAATGATCGACATTCACAATTTGATCAGGTATTGATTCAGCCTTTAAACTCCGAAGCATGATCTCAAACAATTCCTTCACCTCACATCATCTTATTCTTCCAAAAATTGTATTTCAGGTATATCCTCACTTCAGTATTTGAATCATGTACATGGTAAAATAAATCTGACATTATTTTCAACAAAAGCTTATGGTTGTTCAAGCTTTTGTGAACTATTGGGGTTTGTAAGGAAGATTTCCCTTGTGTATTAAAAAATAATTATACCCAAGATTTATGTAGTTCACCAGTTATTATAAGAGTACTACTTGTTTTAATTCTTTAGGACACCATATTTGTAAACATTCTATCACGACTTCCGAGAATATTTAGTGGTCTTGGGATAGCTGGTGTACTCTTAGCGATTTTCAACCACCTCTATGGCTCATATTCTCCGCTGTTCATCCAACATTTTCTCCTGTTTGGAAAGTCAGACCCTCAGTATTGTGAATATTTGGAGTATTTAAGAGTTCCTAAAAGGTAATTCTGTAGTAATGTGTCCTGTTTCAGTTTGCTACACTTCAGAATTAGTCTTCATTGTTCCACATTAATAATTGTCAAGTGTTTTATACAAACGTGTAGCTGTGACTCTTTTACAAATTAACATATTAGTATTTCTTGAATTCCCACCTTCGTCCACACAAAAAATGTCAAGGATTAGATAAATTCTTTAACTCAGTTGTTATTTTTAACATAAGATTAATGTACAAACCTATACGTACAGACAAAAAATACCCTTACTACGGACTTTTTTTAAGCAAAGCTCATTGCTAATATTTAACTTGACAGTCTCAAATAAACTGAGAACTTGGCGTATTGTTCATGGTATTAGACATCATAAATTTATTTTCCTACTCATTCGAATATTACAAATGTATCTTATTATCATGGTAATGTATTGTACACATCAGACAATCAGTCAGGTACAACGTAGGACCAAGCACATATATACATCGGTCCAAGTTACCACACATCATTAACACAAGATAAATACCAAATTTATAGTACTTAAGACAATGGTGGTAATATATAAAAGACAGATTGCATATAAGGATATATAATGAGACAACTACTTAGTGGTACTTCCAATCGTAGTCGGATTACGAATCAAGTGGAGAAAAGCAGCAACGTGGTCTTATCAAAAACTGACATCATCTCATCAGGGCACACTTACATATACACAAGTTTACACACATGTCGCTTATGAATCACAATGACCGAAATGACATGACATTGATTTATTCAGACTTGTCTTTTGATTGATTACATAATGTTCTAGTTGTTCCGTCGTACTATTTAAACTTGGATTAATTTCTTATTTGGCTATTTATTCTCCGAAGAATTGGCTTACACTAAGTCACGAAACGCCGGAAATCTAAATTTTCTACTCATTGGGATATTAGAAATATATTATTTATTTAAAATGGAGAGACGTTGTATCCCCTCAATCTGCCTGAAGTGTTTTTATAGAGAACCCTCAAGATTATAGCAAACTCAGGTACACTCTTCAACAGACTATCCCGGGGTATAGTTCTGTCCAAAGAATCGAAGGTAGCCATGATATCAAGAAACAGCGATGGTTCACCTGCAGTAAGTAAGGCGGTACTATTAAATTTTTTGTGTGGGGGAGAGTAAATATGTGATCGATACACCCACGAAAAGAACGAAAATTAGTCTGGTTTTGGATATTTTGAATTATGACCGAGGCTAATATTTCAGACACTATCGGAAGTCTTATCCCCCATTAATTGAGTCCGACAACTGTCTTCTTATTCCAAGATGTTAGAGCACTCTAATCCCCTGACCTTTTCTAACAACGTAGTCAGTTCCTTAGCCAAATGTTCTCTATCCTCCGCAGAAAGAACTAAGTTTAAGTTTTCTGGGGCTTCAGAAGTCTAAGTTCCTGGCGAACTTCCGCGTCGTTATGTGATCAGTCATCACCGGCCGAACTGTTTTTCGTAGAACTCTGTTCATTCTTCAAGATATCACTGAATATATTTTATTGGCGTTACATAAGCTTCATACGTTGCCTCAATAACACCAGACTTCTTGGTTGCAAAATTTTTCTACGTAAGAATCTGTGTTTATTGTTAAACTCGCGGTTAGCACGAGTAGACCAACGTGTCTCGATGTGTGAACCACCCAGTTAGCAATGCTGAGGCTAAACGAAGGGTATCAGTTAAGGTTGTTAAATCGATTGATGAGGTAATGAATCTTTATTGACTGGATAGTAAGGGAATGTATTACGCATGCTCATCCACCGACTATCTGGACACCCGATTTTCGCTGATGTAGGAATAGGTTGAAAAGAAGCTATATGCTCCCGAATCAAACGTGCAATCAGCTCTTCAAGTCATTCACTAATAAACGGAGTCGTGCAGGTAAGTTCAAATTACGTATTTGGTTTCTACACGACTCGTAATAGTCCGAAACGGTAAGAATATATTCACTCTTTGTCTTCGCTTAGATCCCAAGTTTTGCATATTATCTTACAATCTTTTTTCATCCTAAAGACTTCTTGAATTATATTTTTTGTTCCTTTTCTGGTGCTACTCCTACTACTCTAGCGTCTCGCTGTACTAAGATGGCATGGCAGCGTGGACAGATGCACATATATACCAGGTTGTATGTCGCATACGAATGACTGACTGAGGTCTAGTGTTGTTTAAATAAGTAATCCTGAGCTGGACCTTCAAATGGTGTTATTCATTTCCTAATTCGCCGTTTTGGAGAGTTATATAGCATCTCAACAGTTTTTCTTTATCATTTAGTATTCATGAAGATGGCTACTTTAAAGATAGGTTTCGTTGTAGGATAAAATCACACAAATCTGCTAAGTAATTCGTTTTCGTAGTAACTTGTGACCTGTGGGATGTTCAGACTGAAAAATTCATATTTTTGTATAGTCGCGTTTCGTTCACATGCACTTATTCTAAATTCATTAGTTAATATTTCGTAACTTTAATCAGTTCATGATATACCATTATTACTATCTGTTATCTTTATTTGCTGATTATTGAGTTAAATAGTTTATCAAAATTTCGTGACATCTATTACAAAGCCACATTTATGTGAATAATGGATTCCCATTTACTTTTTACCAAGTATTCTACTTAAATATGTTTAATCAAAGACTGGCATTGTTTTCGGAATTCTTTGCATTCGTACAGCTGTTAGTATCGTTCTCACTTCGTTTGTCAATTTAGTTAATCATCAGGTATTCATTAACAAACTAAAATTGTTTCATATTTTTACACGTAATCATTTCTTTTTCTCAAATTTCTCCGGTCAATAAATCAACTATGTGCGTATTTATAAGTAATTGTATCAAATCTTTCTTTACAGATGGTTTAAATATTTTTACATGATTGGTATATTCTCTACATTTTGTATCCTACTGGTTGAATTATTTATGCTATGTAAGTGGATTTAATATTGTTTTCCATACCCTTATATTTTGTCACTGTTGCAGCATTCTTGTTATCCAATCCTTGTATTGTATACCACAATTATTTTGTAGTTGAATTCATGAGTCGATGTAAGCTAGACTACCATTGAAAACCTGGAAGCACTGAACTGCCGTTTCGCCCTAACATGGGACTCCTCGGAAGTGCGCATACACAACCCTGCACTTACTACTCGAACCCAGCACCTTCGTTTTTGCGCGTGAACGCTTAACCACTAGCCTACAGAGTCGGCATTCAACGGTGTTAATGCCTAACTTTAATCGACCCATGAATGATTGCACAACCATTCATCCATTGTCTGAGGTAGGTACCTGTTATTAACACCTCTGAATGCCGGCTCTGTGGTTAAGCGTTCACACGCGAGATCGAAGGTCCTGGGTTCGGGTAGTAAGTGCGGGGTCGTGTATGCGCACTTCCGAGGAGTCCCATACTATGGCGAAACGGCAGTTCAGTGCTTCCAAGTTTTCAGTGGTGTTCTTGAACTGACTACTCTGATTTCAGGTGCCATAGATGGATAGTAAAGCACAGTATTATTGCAAAATTTGTCTACTTGATGTAGACTTTGCTATTTACTTTTTGTCATCATACAATAATCCTTTCCATTATTATGTAGCAAGAGTTTTAATTAATGAATAAATATTAAACTGTTTTAGTTCTAATTAATAAAAATGTAATTCCTTTAATGTATCCTGTTCAATTTTAATCTACTCATGTCTCATTACGTTTGAATGACTAAAGATAAAAATTAGTTTGGTTAAAATACTAAATATGTGTACTTCTTTGTTCCCTACGTTATAAATCTTCCTTTCGTTTAACTGGAGCTTGGAGGGGATAGAGCTGTTGTAGTTGCGATTTATCGCCAATATCACAAATATATCAGGCTTGTTGAGCATTGTAGTTAATTTAGAAATCGTTTTTGTGGTAAATTGATTTCAGTTGAGGATCAATTTAAAACCAGGATCCATTGGAATCATGTTTCGTCCTGTTTCATAACTTTTCATTTGTGTGCGCTCTCAACTCCACTTAAAATCGTATTCTTAAACCAATAGACCTGAATCAACCTCACGGTTGCAGCTGCAATCAGTTTGAGTTATAGTATCAATCCCATCTACAAATTACTGTCTCACCTTTGACTTTAACTTTAACCAGTTATAGTTCTTTATTTGAACTTCGGAAAACTCTTCTCAGATCCGATCACTAGTATGGACATAATTATTCATCCAGGTAGCTTTCTATTTTAAATCTTTCTGAATTTATATAACTTCATAAATCTTTTTTCTAGCTTCAGTACTCAACAAAACCATAATTTCTGTTTTAATCATATATTTGGTACATGTTTCACGTCGACTGTATGAGTGCGAATATGTTTCCGTATTCAGTAATTCTCAAATGAGTTTCATGCACTTTTTGATGGGTATTGTATACTATATTGTCACTCCTAGTTCAATTTTGCTTTCTCAAAGTAATGCAGGTAATTAAAACTCGTTATTTTGTAAACTTTGTATGGTTAAGTATGTATTATCAATTTTTATCTTTAGTTAACTATTTTATTATTTTTATTGCTGTTCAGTAGATTTCAGTTATTCGTACGCAATATTTCATTTTCTTTCTGCTTGTACTGGTTTGTTGTACAGTAATGTACCGTGTAATAATATACGAATTTTATAAGAATCTAGTTGGTTTTGGCAGTTACCAGATAGTAGTTAGTAGGTTTTGAATATAAAGACTATCTAGTGGCTAGCCTAATTAACTTTTAATTGTTGGGTCAGAGATTCGAACCACGTTTCATCTATTTCTATATGGATTGTCAATATGTATAAATTATCTTGAGATAGAAAGTGGCACTGAAAGCCGAGTACGTTTATCACAATCTGGTTAATTAGCTACATCAACTTATTTAATAAAGTTAATAAGTGTTATGTTGATTCCAAAGATATCCCGATTATCCTTTTTTTATCTGTAATTATTGTCTAGTTAAATAGTAGATTCTTATAAACAATGAAATCGATCATATTCACCACTGTTTTTATTGCTTCATATTGTTATACGTGCTTCATCAAAAGTTCGATTCGCGAGATTTTATTATTTGAGTTTTTTAACTGTTCTATAATAGTTGGATACTGTCATAACTTATGAACTATGTGCCCTGTTTATTGTATAACGTAACGATACCGCCAATTAGAGAGCAGTGAATTTATCGATCGGACCAGCGACGCATAAAACCCGTACGAGCAGTCTAGAGTTCTTATTGGCCCTGCTTTCCGTCTAGCCCAGGCAGTTAAGTGCAGAACGCCAATCTCAGCCTCTGCGATATGAATCACTTATTTCAAACATACTGGGTTTATATACTGACCAGACAGACCACATCATACCATAAAATATGAAACAACATTTGTACAAGAATTAGCCAAATGTGGCTGTGAATGAGAGAGGTAGTAATTAATAAACAGGGCATAATTCAAGGATGGTAGATCGTATAATAATAGCTCATAGGTCAAAATAAAGCTCATAATAAAAGGGACGTGAATATGAAAAGTTTAGTTACTTAACAATTATGCAATAAAAATATACACATATTATTGGTCCATTAATGAATCTCAAAAGTCATCATTCTTTATTCTTATCAGGACATAACAGATACCAATTAATTAGTTTATACTACATGATACTTCATCGTTCAGTTACCACATAAAACACCATATGGCAGATGTCAGGATGAGTATGTTTAATGTAATTCATTGTAAAAGTAGTGGATTTAATCTGAAATAGTAATAATCAATGTATTCAGTCTACTTGTATGTTTTTCAGCTAGCTTTTATTCCTAGGGAGCATGAATCTTCGCAATAGTCGTATCAACATAAAGACCTCTTGAAACAAGAATTTTTTAGAGCACAAAACTTGTTTTTGATAAAGATTCAACTAACTGCAAATATGTTGCCCAGAACTGGTTCTTGAAACATATTGAAAAGCTCCGGTCGCACCACCTCTTTTTTGGTAAGGTGAAGTGCAAACTTCATAGAGGGTTGCTAATCTTTAAGTGGGTGAAGATGTCAGTATCATAGGCACTTAATGTCTAATCTTGGCGATTTATCATGCTGTATAAATTAATATGTGTTCAAATTGTAAAATTAGAATATATATATCGTCCTGTCGCTACGTGACATTTTCATATAGGTTATAGCGAAAATTGGAATTTGCATTTTATCATTATCTTCCATCGTCTGAGTCTGTTGCCATATGGATACCTAAAATAAGTACTTTAGTGGAAGGACCAAAATTTGTTAGAAAGCTTTCATTCGGTAACTGGGTTGGAAATATATGTTCACCTCACTCCTAAATGTCTTTTTCCCTTAGAAAATAAGGCGAGATTTTCAACCAGTAGCATATCTCCATTTTCTCAGAGTTAAGTCAAATCTTAATCGATAGTGAGTGCTCATCAGCATCTTCCATTTATCATACCCTTTGTCTGTCAAATTTGTTCGACGTGTCACGTTCAGTATATCTTCTTGGAGCGTCTCCAAAACTTGAGTAGATATTTTTACATGTTTATGGAGTTTCAAATTAATGGTTTACATATTCTAATTTTAACTGTCTCGTTTTTGGTTGTGAATTCTGTTCACCCCACATATTTCTTTATAGTTCACCAGATTTTACTTAGAGCATCCATATAGTGAATGTCGCTCAGCTCTAGCATAATCTTTATCTGTAGATTCACTATAACATTTTCTTTATGTACCTTCATTAATTTGATAATTTGACAATAACTTATCTTTCAGCTGAACGATCATATTTGACTATTGGCTTATTTAGTGTGCACATGTTAATACTCCAGTATTTGCAGAATTTGGTTTTCCGACAGTTAGCTGCCTTACGTTCAGGGAAAAATAAAAACACAGGTAATTTTAACGCAATACATAATTCATTTAATATACCATTTATGTACCCGTGATCTCACTATGTTTACATTTCTGTCCGGATGATTGAATTTCGTGAGCATTCAACATTGATTGTCTATTGCTAGTGCACGTTGCCGACGAGTGTTAATCAGTAAAATACTTGGGTTTTTTATAAGGATTTCCTGTCAATTACCTCCAACCACCCAAACAATAGGCTTGTTTGTGTGTAGATAAGTCGGAGAAAAGCAACTACAAATTTGACCACATCTTCCCCCCATTTCGAAGCTTTTAATTTCATTAGCTACTGCAGCCTGTCCCTATCTTTTTCAGTCGATAATCTAAATTATTTTACATTGTTACACCGAGTATCTTGCGTCAAAAGCTTTCATTTCTCAGCGGTCAGTTACAGACTAAAATGCTATCTATCACTCATTTACGAGAAGTGTACTTAAGCTTCAAAGCTAGTCTTGTTTCTTCTTAGTTTCAAATATATATTGCTGTCAAAAATGTTATTTTATTTGTGCGAGTGACAGCCAGTGAGTACCGCTGTATTCAGAGTCTAAATTAACTTCATTGTACCCCAGATTTGTCCCTATAATTTCACTTCTTAGTAAATAATTTCTGATAGATCGTGTTATTTTCTTGTTCCATATTTGATTTCACTAAAAATATTAACAAATGACTAAAACACAGTAGTTATTATTTTGAATATATTCGATTTTTTACCAAAATCCGAATCTTGTGAAGAGTTTTGTGTGAATTCGGTAATGAAATGCATTCACCGTTAATTGTGATGAATAAATTAATCATTTGAATGGATTTGTTACATTATTGCAATAAGTAACAATATTTCAACACAAAATAAATAAATCTTGAAATAATAATCTTAGTAACTTCAAGGTGGCCCATGTTTTTTTGTAAAATAATTACTTCAGTCCACTTACTGTCGTTTAAAACTAATATTTTATTCATTGTGTGTTCATTCATTTGATAGCTGAAAATACATTTTATTACTTATCGAACAGTAAGTGTAGGATTTAGTTTGTCCTACAGATATGCCACTAGAACTGTGAACGCGATACTGGCGATCCCAGAGTCTGTGAAAGTTATTGTTCAAATAAGGAAAATTTGGCTTTAAACTTTATCTGTCTCTACACGCAAAAAACCAATCCGATTAGTACAGTAATTAAAGGAATTATATTCACAAAGTGTAACGCACAAGTATACCGACCAGTATTGCTTGTTCTATCGAAATGAATAAAAATTATGAATCACACTAATATAATAGGATAATAATGTACTTCAATTGGCAAGTCACATGCAACAGGGTTAGTCTACAAACCATATTGACGTGGTGGGCGCTTAAACCACGATTTCATTGATTAGTTATGGACCCTAAAGTAATAACATCCCAAATTTATCATCTAATACAATATAACAACCAACTACAGATTATTAGTTCACTCTATTTTGCATTGGATTTCTGAGATGGAAGATAAAAATCAACTTGTTCCACAAACTGAAGTGGGTAGCTCAACGTTTAGATTTTGAGACTCATGAGTTCAATATTTAGTAACACTGCGAAGATTAAATAATATTAAATTAGACTCTTAAAAAATAAGCCCACTGAATGTTTGGTATTTACACTACAGTATTATATTTCTAGTGTTCAAATTCTTAAAAATGTATTTCTTGTTAACTATTAAATTTAGTGTTTTTATCACCGAACCTCTCTGTTATTGCTTCGTTTTTTCACTTAAAGACACTTATCAGCTTGTAATTGTGTTAATACGGTAGATTGTTATCCTATTTTTAAGAATGCAAATACATTTCTATGCAATAACTTTACAATCATCTGGTTTTCTCTAATGGAAACAAATTCTGTCATTTAAGATTAATTCCCTTTGAATTAATTAAACCTCGATAAGGTTGAGACATAGTTGTTTTTCTTTCATTATTCGCTTTCGTTAGTCTGATGAACATTCACTCAACTTATCAAATAATATCATACATATGCTTCAATGAATGCATTAATTTATTGTTATGCATGAACGTGATGAAGTTCTCTTCATTTTGAAGTGGTGAATTGGAATGCACAGTTTGCATTTTCACTGTATTCAACTCATCTTTACCGTTCCGTCAGCTCGGTCTTTTCAGTTGCGATTGAATGTTTGCCATTAACTTTTTAGCTCCCTCATACATACCTCCCACGTAATCGAAATCCTTCGATCTCTTACTTTACATTCACTGACTATTAGTCAATTAACTGTGTTACAAAATGCAGTAAATATCATTTTAAATTAATAGCAACAACATTTCGTCAACACATCGTAATTAAATTAAAGAGTGTTTAAAGCTGTTATTCTTCACACTTCGGAAGTTGATAATAAATAGATTTTCACATTCTTGAATTAATCTAAGTAGCTTTTGAACAGATTAATTCAAGTATACTAGCCCTGAAGTTAAGCAGGTCAAGTTAAGATATTAAGGAATTTTCGGATTATCAACTTGTTTATAAATGTTATTTGACTTCTTAGATGTACAGTGACAGTTTAATTTCTCACTATTTCCATAGATGATATCTAAATAAAAACATTTTCATCATATGGCATAATATATGACCAAAGTTTTTATGCTTTGTGTTGAAAGTACAGTATTTTTCGTTTATTAATTTTTCTTGAAACTATTTATACTTAGTAAAATACTCTGATTTTAAAGTTTAGAAGTTTTCTGCATTAAGTAGTAAAGTTTACCGTTACCCATGGCTTTATTGATTGTTCTTGTAATTCGGTAACAATTTAAAACTGAATTCATCGCTTATCAGATTCATATATATGTGGCAAACTAGTGTCTAATATAGTATATTCAGTATTTGAGTAGCAGTAAAATCCAAAACAGAGTTTTAGCGTTTTTTAGCGAGTCAGTTTTCTACGGAATGGGGTCACTAACCCCGTGCCTAACCCTATTTCTTTATCCGGGCTTGGAACCGGTACTAGCTCCAGAGGGGCTGCATGCGCAGTTCAGAACAGAGAGTGGTCATCTGCGATGCTAAGTATCAGCAAAGAGAAATTACAAATCCTTACTAATACACAACTGTATTTGATAATTAGTTATCTTACTTCAAAAACGTTTTTGAATCATTCACTAGTTATTTTATCTCACATACTTAATGATCTAAGATGAAAACCAGTAAAAAATTGATGATAAGTAATTAACCAGCTAGTATTACTTGTTCTGAACTCTTGGTTAAGTAACCTTTGCTTTAATTCAGTTTATTTTCCAAATAGTTTTATCAATAGACGCTATCAACTGTAAACTTGGTCACTAAGGTTACTGATGATTATTGGTGAACACTTCAATAATTCGATTAGAAAAATGCTAATTCACACAAATGATCAAAACGTAATATATATGAAATTTTTCTGTCAATTCAATCTTTATCATTTTTTATTTATCTAGTTCTTGGAGGTTTGTTAATTTATTCCATCTTAAAATTTATAATAAATCTTTTATAGACTTTTAGCTTAACTCTAATAGTCATGTGATTATGAATTAGATTTGACTAACTGGGTAATTAAAAACACATCGGTGTAAATGAAATGGTTTTATGTAATACGATTACAAACTTTTTGTGATATAGATGGCAGAATATTAGAATTGTTCAGTTCACAAAACTTATTACATTTATATGCTTAGTATTTATGTGTTCATCTAGCAAACTAATCGGTGAGCATTAGAACTACCACTAGAATATAAGCCAGCCAATGAAAATCAAATTACCTGACTTTGCATTGGATATTCTGCATGTTTCTAACTAATTGAAATAAAATTATAATTCACTTAAACTATAGAATTCAAATTTTTATTTTCATATTTTTAAATAGCTTACCAACGTTTCTTTTAATTAAAAACATTTTATTGTTGTTTTTTAGACAAGTTATCGGAGAAAAAGTATTATCCACCCGAAGGGAGTATGTTTTATTGGGTATCGTGCCCGCACTACATACTTGAAATATCAATCTACTTATCATGTCAGTTATTTATTACACCTAAATGGATACCATTCTCGCATATATTATTTTTCACAATATGCAATCAATTATGCTGTATATGGCTAAATCATAATTGGTATAAAAATAATTTCCCTGAGTGGGCATCTAAACGTGCTATGCTGATTCCTTATGTATGGTGAATATAAAAAATGTATGTTCACTTCTCTCTCTTAAACATAAACATCTTGATGTAAAATATTTTTTTGTTAGTGTTAGGCTATTCATTTTATTCAACTGACTACACATCATCTAATATTTTTTATGTGATTTTTCTCCAAAGATGCTCCGTTTTGTGATATTTCTCTATTCTATTCGAAAAGTTATTATAATGTAAGTACCTTCTTCCTTAAGAGCTATTTTGAATTAAGGAGAACTTATCAAAAGAAAAGCTATTAATTATTGAGTATTCATATTTTAGAAATTAGAGATAATTTCGTCAGACACTAAGGTGCTTCGTGGCAATACATCAGTGCAATGGCTAATATCGTGTTATTAGTCAGCACTGAGGAGTCAAACTGTGTCTCCGAATAATACACCAAACCAATGTAGCGCATCGACGCCACGTAAAACCTGTAAGCTATAGCAGTATGAAACTATATTTCAAGAGTTTCAAAGATCACTTGTAGTTACTTAACTGTAGGTGTTTTCCAGAAATGCATTTTAATCTTAGTAGTGACCAATATAAGCATAAGTTGTTATGCAGTAAAGTGAGTAGAATGTTTGGGTTCATGAAAAAACCAGTTATCTTAATTTAAGAACCCAACATCTTTTAATAGATTTATCTAAGAAATATTATGCCCCCTCAATCATGCTGCTTAGACGCATTTCGTACTAAATATCCAATTGTCTAGGCACTCCTCAATAGTTGTGATCCGTAGGTATTCTTCGTTTTCTACATTTCTGGGTATTTAGACCTGGCACATGGTTTGTTTATATAATGTCAAACTCGCAACAACATCACAAAGACAGTCCAGAGTGCGTGGACTGCTCTGCAATTTTGTGTAAGTCCGCTCTGTTTTCTGTTAAGTAATTCCATCAAGACAACAGTTTCAGTGACACTTGATGGTCACAATAAGTTATTCCATAACCAGGCATTTATAATAAGTATGAGATTTGATTCTGTAATGTTATAGCCTCATCAGTTGGAACTTCTGATTTTACAGTCATATGTTTTGTAGTCACAGCTGCCTGCGTTTTGAGGAACAATGTTATATTCTATTCCCTAGATTTCGTCATAAGTTTTGAAATAATGTAAGTGAAGAAACGAAATCCTTACCGAAGACGTACTGACTGGTAATTTCAAAGAATATATATAAGGTGGAAGGATAAAGTTGAATCAATTAGATTTGGATTTTAAAAGGTTTTAATACATGTATAGACTGTCTAAGTCATGTACTCACTAATTGTTAGTCCTAGATTGGCTATATCCGTTTGAGGATTTTGGCACGACTCGACATAAAACACTTATCCTTTATGGCTACCTTGCGATTTTCATACTCCTATACTTCTACATGGAATCAAGTAGGGTTTTCTCATGACCATCATTGTCTTCGTCCTTGTTTGTGTTTGGGTCGATCCATCGGGAGTATCTTGAGTCGCCATTTTGTCTGATTTTGTCCTATCAAATTTGTATTCGTTTTTTCTCTGTTTGGAATTGACTTCGTAGGGCCTCGAAAACTTCAAGATTAACATCCCTATCAATCACCAATGAAGAAGATGGGGGCTACTCGAGTTGTACGGGAATAGTGCAAGTTAGCTGACACCAAAGTCACAACTCACAATACTTAGGGTGCACTACTGTTTCGTTGTTACCGTGGCTACTTTGGTTTTTGTATATAGACGTTACTACAGAAATGTATTAGTAAGAATAGAAGAAATAGAGTACGACCATCAGCGTATCGGCGAGCCAGTGGCATGCAAACTGACCCGAGCTGGTTGACGAGATTTGGTAGATCGTTCAGCACAAGCCATGCCTGTTGGGTGATTAAACTGTGGCTCAGTGACATTTTGCTATCCCTCATAGCAGATCGAGCTTTTTATAACTCCCTTGCTAGCTCTGAAGGATTTAATATTATCAACACAACGTACCCCAGACGTCAGTACCTTATTTATGGCCATAATTTTAACTTATGTGTTTGGTTGGAAAAATCTATTTGGAGGAAAGCTATTGCCTTATACTTGAGTAAAATCTATTCGGATGATTGTGGACCAAATAAAAGGAGCATCCACTTAACGGGCTTCCATATCTAGTGGAAGTGAATCATCAGGTAGGAACCTAGGTATTTATGTAACCTTTTCGAGTTTCATTGTTTTATGATGGGATAGAGGTTTCTGCAAATTCACTACTGGGGATTAGCCAAATACATTTATGAAAAAAACATCGGTAGATTCCCTCAGTATAGCAGATTCAGCAATTAAACAGGTTTTAACAATATGTCTTCATCCTTCTGCTTGGATTTGATATCTGTTTCAGCGAGTCTTTAAACGACTGCCGGACAAAAACCGAACTTTTACAACATTCTTCGTCTGTTGACATTCGGATTTAACGATTGACCGACCATGTAATACGGTCTACCATAGATAAATGAATGAAAGAGATTCGTGTAGACATTGTTGACCAAAACATGACTCACTTTAGTTTGTATCTTCATTAGTTACACAATTACCACGACCTACTTACCACTTCCTTTTTATATTTTGTACGAACATGCTTCCGCTCGTGTCATTTTATGGCTTCCAAGTCCTAGATGACTTTCTCTTCGTTCAGATATTTCTCTTCCCTGTGATCACCCCAGTCATACTGCTATTCAATGAAGATGTTGGTGATGCTGTTAAAATTTTGGGTCCTTCAAGCAATTTTAGAATATTTTGGTGCGTTTTTCTTACTCAACTTCGGCAAACCATTACGGAACAATAGTTGTGATTTTTTACCACTTGAGTCCGATTGTTGTATGAACTAGACGTTTTATATCTCTGCATCCTTCTCACGCAAGCTGTCTGTAGCTCCAAGCTTGCTCTTCAAGTTCGATTTTGCTAGTGATTTGCAGATGGTGTATCCATCCACTAGCGTAATAATGTTCAGCATTTGAACTTTAATGAATACGTGATAAATTTCTGGAGCATAATTTATCTTCTAAACTACAGTAGGTTGTATATTTAAGTAGCAGTAATAACGAACCGATACCTTTATCCAGTATTCAGTAAATTGTCAAGTAAACAACTACCTGGAAGAAGTCTGTAATTTGCACTTACTTCGCTTGTGGCAAAATGGGATAGAATCTAGGTATATGACAGTAATAATTTGCGTATGTTTTTGGTGACCTATGTGAAGCATTTACAAGTTCGCAATAATCAGGTCAGTAGTTCCAGTTTTACCTGAGTGATTCATCTCCATGTACTTGAAACCAGTCGATATGTTAACCAATATAACCGGCATGATTGCACATAAAGCACTATTAGCACTCATTTAAGCGGCTGTAATAGTATTTTTATGCCTATTTGTTCTAAACTGATTACCCAAGTAAAACGTACGGATACCACCTAAGAATTTCACTTATGTGAACACTAATATTTGATGTCAGTAATTCAGTCTCCAGGAGATTTTTATTGTTCCTTGTTTAAGTTGAGTTCTTGCTCATCCTAACACAAGATGAACATTATTTCAAGAGTAATTCCAACTTATACATTGCTGATGGTTAATTATCACCTTATTTCAGACGGTGTATGTGCAAAAATACTGCCTATAAAAATAAATTTTCTGGCATACACTTCTTGCGAGCATGAAGGACTTCGTCAAATTAAAGCATTCTCTTAGGTCTGTAGTGGTATAGATTCCAAAGCACATGATCTTTGAAACTGAAGATAAGATGACCGAAAGAATTCGCATAAAACATTTAACACAGAGAGAAGGTCAAAAAGTCGTTGACGCAAGAAAAATTGGTCGGTATGGCATGAAAGCTTTGCAGGCATTGACTTTCAGTGTAACTCATATCTTCTCACATTAAATACATCGATTTAACTCCGGTTCACATGTTTTCTTCAGCTACACTAAGCATAACATTGCTGGTTTTCACAATAGGACGAGTCAGTACAAATAATGATATGAACTCCACGTAAGATCTTATTGATTAGGTAGTCGCATCATGACAAATCTACAATTTTAGGATTAGGTCTGTCATTATAGTAAGGAAGATAAATATGCTATTACCGAATTAGGCCATAATTCTGCAGGATAACGAACAGTCACATATATCTTGTAGCGTGGCGTCGAGTCGAAATTAACTATGAACACCGCTACCAAGAAACGCGTGCCAAATGACTCCATAAAATCCCCCGTAAGCCAAATATCAGAAGGCAGTTAATGGATCAAGTCGAGATATATTTGCTGGCGATCTCGTGGTATCGAAAAGATACCGAGATCGTGCCAGGATAAGATCTTGATTACAGGACGTAACCGAATTCGCGCGAAGTCACAATCAAAGTGTAAGAATAATGGAATTTTTTAGCACAGTTAAACAAAAGCACATTAAAACTCACTGGTAAAATTGGTTATAATGATAATTGTTTTCAATAAACCGATCGTGTTCTCGTGATAATAGTGAGTCACTACAGGAGCCCTCCGCTAGAAAGGGTTTACACTTTCGATAAATAGCGGTTTAAATCGTGGGACTGGTCGGCTGACGAGCGATTGTAGGACGGAAGAATTGGCGGAACAGGAAAGCGGTCGTTGATCATCGAGTTGCCAACGGTCTTTTTCGGAGAACGGTACCAGGAGAGGTGTGCTGTATTTGTTGCTTGAGTTGACATACTACACCAGAGTGGTTTGTATCCAGAATCTGAAGATTGCTTTCGTAAGGGATGCGGACCAGAAACGCTGAAGACGTAGGACGAAACCACGTTGAGCCAAAAGACCAGAAGCGACCGTAACGACCAATTTCGAGACCAAGCGTATGCCAAACATTCAAACCAATATATCGACTGAGTGCGTTGACAAGAGCGGGGGTGGCCAATCCAGCTTTCGCCATAGTTGACTGAAGTCGACGGAACCAAACGGAGATGGTCGAAGGTGTGGGCGCAGGGGAACAAAAAGAAAATCAAAAAAGAGAAAAGTGTAGTATAGGAATAATCTTACACCGTATTGGTTGTTGACTGTGTGACTATTCGCAAAAGCGTACGGGTAGCCGTACTCAGCGACCGGAACGTGAGATGGTAGTCTCGTTCGTATCTCGTGAACCTACGATCTCATCCGAAGTCAGGGGCGGCGTGGTCTGCTAATCTGGACATGAGACTGTCGTCTCGTCCGTAGATGGTGCTGTTGACCGGGATGTGAGAATGAGATCTCAGGCGTATCAAGCGTAGGATCTGAAGAGGATTTAAGGATCCCGCTAGG